ATATATATATCTCCACTGCAGCATAAGGATTTCCCAAATAGTGCGTGGGGTATACTTATGCTAAATCTTTATTGTTGGTTTAATCTGAAATTCCAAGTTTAGTGAAAGCCCTGTGCTTGTTAACTGTGGCAACTTAAACTTTGTGGGAAAGACGTACCTTAATGCTTCAGCACACGGTCAGACCTTCCAGCAAGCCCGCCCCTAAGCAAGCGCTCTGTCCACCCCAAGCAGACTGCTCGCCCCTGGTCCCGCCCAGGCAGCACTAGAGGCGCCCGGAGTGGCCGAGCCCCGCCCTGCCCAGTCCCGCCCGGAGCAGTGCGCGGCGCCCAGGGCTGTTCAAGGCGAGCTGCTGAGCGGTGTGGCGTTCGCACGCTCCCGGCCTTCCACTCAACGTGCTCCGGCAAGGCCAGAAAGTCGCTAGCTATGTCGGCTGCGGAGGCGGGGGGTGTTTTCCACCGAGCCCGGGGCAGGACCCTGGACGCGTTTTCCGCAGGTATTGCTTGGCTCTTCTCCCGGGAAGGGGTAACTCCAGAGCTGCGGAACCTTTCGCGGGGGGAACCTTTGAGTCGTTGGCGGCCGGCGCTTCTGGTCGGACCTTTTGGCGTGTTGCACGCGGGGTCGGGGACAGCCATAGGGGTTGCGCCGCCTTCTCCCTGCATTTTCAGGGCGTGTGTGAAGAAGTAGGGTGCGCCCAGGGACCAGTCCAGGTGCTTTGCTGGCCTTGACCTGAGCTTCCAAGAGAAGGAAAGTTAGACGGAGGCGGCACATCGCGCTGCTCTGCTGTTGGACCTGGCTTCCACTTCCTCAGCTTTTTCATCTGTAGAACGGGAACCACAGCGAGCTTATGGGACGCACTGGATAAGCGCTCGGTGCGTGTCAGATAGAGGCTGTTCTGTTTAGTAAGATTGTTCTTTGTGAGCCGTAATTTCAGTTATTTACGGTAACACGAGTTCTTCACCGAAATGTGAGCAGAAGCTACCAATGGAAACGGAAGGCAGTCTGGGTACTGGTAAAGTGCTTGGACCTTGGATTTTGATCATCTGCCTCGCTCTCAGAATCAGTTCCGTGATGCTTGTCTCAGAGGGAGCGTTAACAGATTCAAAATATTTCTGTAACCCAGAGTGGGCACATGCTAGGTCCTAATCGCATGTTAGTCCTTGAGCTATGAGGCCAGAGGGTACACTGCTCTTGATGCCACGGTTTTGTTTGGTTCCTTGGGGTTGATCCCTCCCAAGCACTTAGCTTCAGCGCTTCAGAAAATTCACCACTCTCGGTTCCTGCGTGCACTCTCTCCCTTGCCCTATTTTGCTCTCTAGTTTTCTTGAAGCGCTCTTAAAAAGAATCGGGCCCTTTCCAAACCCTTGAGGGTGTTGGCACCTGCTCTTCTCTGCCCTCATCACCCTTGGTGGGACTGGGGAGTCAGTCTCAACCCTCACACTCCATTTTCAAGTTCATTCCTCACTTCCTTCTGGCTATCTAAAGTAGATTAATCCTGTGTCTGCTAGGTTCTTGTTCTTTTCCTTCCTTGCTACTTATGATTATGGAAGAGCTTGCACAGCTAGAAATCCACTTGTGGATTTGGGAAAATACAATCCGTTAAGGTGCCAATTTCTGCATATTTTAATGTGTCTTGGCTTTTTCACCCAATATGTTTTTAGATTGGTCCATATTACCATATATAGTCCTACTTATTTTCCTTCTGGGCAATATTTCACTCATGAATGTGTATCTTGTACATTTTGATAGTGGATAGGCTAAGTCTTCCTCAACTTAGCCTTTCCTTTTGCATCTCTAAATCTCTTTCCCACAGTGCTCTAGGAGGTTGGCCTCAGTGGGCTACAGTAATGAGCTCTTTGCCCTGTAGCTCAGCCAATGAGAAGCCTCAACTGAAGGTCAGGGGTGTTCTAGTTTGCTTTTCTGTTACTGTGACAAAACACTCTGACCAAACCAACTTGGGGAGGAAAGGGTTTATTTTATCTCACATCTCCCAGGTCACAGTTCATCACTAAAGGAATTCAGGGAGGAACGTGGAGGCAGGAGCTGAAGCACAGACCATGGAGGAACACTGCTTACTGGCTTGCTCCCCTGGCCCATGCTCAGCCTGCTTTCTTATACAATACAGGACCACCTGCCCAGAATACAATACAGGCACTGCCCACAGTGGCCTGGGCCCTCCCACATCATTCAACAATCAAGAAAATGCTACACAGACGTGGCCACAGGCCAGTCCAATGGAGACAATTCCTCGGTTGAGGTTTCCTCCAATCAGGGGTGTCAAGTTGACAATTGAAACTATCCAGCACAAGGGGGAAGAGAAAACAGAAGTCAGCACATTTATTCCTACACTCTCCCCTGCGGGTGTCCCTTTTGCTGACTGTATTAGTCCCCTGGAAGTCACTGCTGCTCTCAACAGTTTTTATTTTCACAGCTTCTCCAGACTGGTAACCATTCCCTCTTCCTCTGCCTAGGTTTCTGAGTGGCAGCAGCTCTGCTTTTCTGTCTTTGGGCTGCTAAACTGTGCCTCATAATTTCTTTACATTCAAACCATTCCAAATAATCCCTTTAAACATCCTCCATGAGTTTCCTAGTTTGAGTATGCTGTTTCCTTGGTCCTGACTAGTATAATGATTATTTGCCTTTCATTCTTGGTAAGGGTGTTTTCCAGGAGCAAAGGTGTGGGTTTAATCATTCTTAGACTTACCAGGTATCATCATATTACCTTCCAAAATGGTTACATCAGTTTTCCCACCAGCAGCACAGGAGAGTTCCTTTGCTGTACCCTTATTTTCGGTCTGAGAAGCATTTAAGGTAATTCCATTTGTACTTCCCAGTGTCTAGTGAAGAGAAGGAAATAGGGGTGGGGGCACTGTAGGTTACTCATCCTCAGGGTCTTATAAATGTAGGCACAGAGCAGTGGCACAAAAGAGTTCATTCTTGGCACCTGATGGCCACTGAAACAGTAGACGGAGTCAGGATTGTAAGTACTGGTCCTGCATGGTGGTGGGGCCATTAACTAAAATCGAGAGTAAGGAATAGTCAACATTTCATGAGATGAATTTGAGACACCATCTGGAATTCTGAAGCAACTTGCAGGGTACACTGCATTTAGGGAGGAGGTAGGGAGGAGTACCATGGCAGGGGAGAGTAGATGAGCTGCTTTTGAGTTGCAGGCATTATTCTGAAGGGGAACAGTGTGGCACAGTGGATGGTTCAGGTGTACCTGTATGTATTGTCGATATTGTATGCATCTTAGCCTATGTTTTGAGTTAAAAAGAACATGTAGTGAAAGTCTTGGGACAGAAACAACCAGAAATTCTTGAAAAACCAGCAGCCGAACTTGGCACCAAAGAAGACTTAAGGCAAGGAGGTACGCAGGGTCAGGTGTCACAGAAATGTACATGAATGAATGGAAGCCGAGCTGCCGACTCACAGGTGCTTGCAGCGCAGTCCAGTTACTTTGGGAAGTAGAGCCTCAAGCCAGTAGAGCAGCTTCAAGGACAGTCTTGGAAGAGAAAGCAAGGCACTGGCTTTTCTGTCTCACCAGCACTCGCTCCACCAATCCAGGGGTTCAGTTAAATCAAGCAGCTGTCCCTAAAATCATCTCTGCTCACCTAGAATTAGCCAGTTTTTTCCCTTCAGGTGAAATGAAAATACACCCCCCACACACCAGAAGTGATTTTCATGAGTGACATTACTCCCATCTATTTCTCTAAGAGTGTGATAAGGAGGCTTGGTTTCCACCATACATTCCTTGTTAACATAATCTGCTGGGCTCTGCTGATGGATGTTTATACAAAAATCAACGTCTCACCTGACAAGACTCATTCCTAAGGCATGTTCAGATACTCGTTTTAATTAGGCAAATTAATAATTCTGTTTCCTTGACACATATCCTAATCAGGATTCCTTTCTCCTAGCATGTAACTGCCTTCTCAGAGGTTTACTACATCTGTTCTGAAGAAATTCTGAAAGGGAGAAATAGCAAGATAAAATATGCTTTTGAAAACTGTATTTAAGGGCTGACAAGATGGCTCAGGGGTTGAAGGTGCTTGTCACCACGCCTGACAGCCCGAACCCACATGGTGGAAGGAGAGAACAGACTCTCATAGGTTCTCCTCTGACTTTCACATGTGTGCTGTGGCTTGTGTACACCCCCACCTCCACACAAAATTAATAATACATAAAATGTAATAAAAATTGTGTTTGTTTTGCAGTCCCAGGTCCGTTTTTTTTTCCAGATCATTTTTTTTCCAACCAGGATATTTTCCACTTCCAAAAGCAGGGCTCTTTGGTGACTTTCTTTAAAAGATTGTTTTCCGGTCTGGAGATACAGCTCAGCAGTTAAAAATGTTTCCTGCTCTTCAGAAGACCCAAGTTCAGTTCCTTGCACCCAGCGCAGGCAGCTCACAAGCACCTGTAACGCTAGCTCCATCGATCTGGTGCCCTCTTCTGGTCTCCTTGGGCACCTGTACACTTGGTATACCATCACATAGACAAACACACATATATATAAATTAAAAATCCTAATAAGGACTACATTTTTAAAAATAAATAAATATTGTTTTTCTGGACATTTTACGCCTCTGCAGCTGTCCTGTAGGCACTGAATGTTTTTATCTTGAATATTTCTTGGTCCTCCCTGTAAAACATCTCACTGAAGAGAATAAATGGATTCTTAGTAAACTAGACCTTATCAAAAAAAAAAA